TTATGATAAATAATTTATATTATCATATAATATTATTTTTATTATTTATAATTTATTTTTAAAATATTAAAATTTAATTTATAAATAATCATGCTAAATAAAAATTAAATTAGAATAAGAAGTTAAAAAAAATCCAAAAATCCTCTCACACAAAATAAAGATTTATATTTAATATATATAATTAAAATGTATACATAATTATGATAAATATAAATAAAATTAGAAAAATATTTTAAAAAATTCCTAAAAATCCTCTCATAAATTTTTTTTTTTTGTATAAAATAGACATTCATGTTTAATATATAAAAATTAATATCCTATATTATTTTTTTATTTATCAACAAACACGCAAATTAATTGTTAAGCTATTCAGACTCAATCATTACAAGAAAGAAAATTTTTATCATTTATAATGGTCTTATTTAATTTAGACAAAATTATTTTCAACAAATCATATGTGTGATTTATACTTAGAAAAAAAAATATTATTTTGGGACTTTTTGCATTTTCTTGAGAAAAATTAGAAAAGTGTAAAATGAAAAGAAATTATTTGAATAATTAAAAGGAATGTAGGCATTAAAAAACAAAGAAGCACCCTGGAAAGATAGTCACTTTGTTTTGCGCCCCATTAGAAGCATTAGCGTAGGCGAACTATAGAATTTTCCATAGTGTTGTGATGTATACTGTGCACACAAACTGTCATTTTAGAGTGCGATATCTTTTCTGCAACTTGTTCTTCTTCCTTGTCCATACTTGAGGCCACATAAGCATGCCATGGTGCTTTACATTCAGTACCATGATCCTTATTATTGCTCCACCCCATTTAAAGTGTGTTATGTAATTCAGATTATAGAGCCATTATGAATGTGCCAGAAAAGGACGAAAATATAGCTTTCTTAGTGGCCAAGTCATGTTAAGACAGTGTGTGTTTGGTCAATATATCAACCACCTTAAACATAAGTTTCAATTTATGAAATAAAGAAGGAGAGAAAATTTTCTTTCACAGAAGGAAAGTACAAAAGAATACTATTTGTATTTCATTGAATAAAAGCTCGATAAAAATTTAACAAACTGCTGGTTTGATGAAAATTCAAAATAGATAATCTTTTGCTGTGTTGTTTATGCAGCAAAAATAAAAATAAAATGCAGAATGAAATAATGAAGAAATAATAGTTAGAAAATTTTTGTGTGGGAGAGAAATTAGTCTCTAATTTATTAAGTTAAAAATATTTGTAAAAAAATAAATAAGAGAGAGAAATAGAGAGATTTTAGAGTAGTTGGCTGTAGAGGATATTTAAGTCCAACAAAAATTAGTGACGTGTTTAAATATATATTAGTTATTTTATCATGTTTCTTCAAAATAAGTATTATTAGCTCGTTTTACGCCTCTTTAGATGTAAATAAAAAAGTAGATTATGATAACTAAACCAAACACGTGTACTAAATATGTCCCTATATTTTAAGGTTTTCGTGTTGTATGAATTCATATAATTAATGAAATGTTTTCCTTCACCAAAATATGATTTAGATTTCATCTTAAAGGTAAAATACTCGCACATAATTAAACATTTTTTTATAAGAAATTATTTCATACACACACATACGTTTATATATATATATATATATATATATTAACTTATATATTTAGAAATTAACTTCATCTTAAAACTTACCCTTTTTATCTTAAAATAACTACAATTTGAAGTTTTTATTGTTTACTTACAAATAAAAATCAACAATAAGTTCATCATTGAATAAGTAAAAAAAACACCCGAATTGTGTGAAGTCGAAAATAAAAAATGTTTTCAAAACTCATATTTAATTTGCACACACTGGAGTATCGGAAGATTTTTCATTGCAATATGTCTATGAAACTCATGAGTTAGGGCAAACTCAT